TGGCGAGATATTTTCATCTCTCGCTAATCGGAAAGAGTGCAAGGAGATAGTGTCATAATTCACGCAAAGGTTCTGGTGTAAAGCGAACACAAGAAGCCTCATTCAAACGTGATTTTATGATTCTGGTAACTGTTTACTTAGCCTGTATTAAACCCAACATTAAATTTATTGCTAGCGATAAGTCACTGTTTTAGTAGTAGTCGAAAATGTAGACGTGTTTAATCTATTTTCTTGGCTGCCTTTTTCGTTTTCTTGCAATGAACAAACAATTGCTTTTTGCTAGAATAATGGCAAACGTTCACGTTTTCGTACGCTGGATATTTTGAGAAAAATATAAATCCCTTTTAACTGGCTTGCATCTTCCTACTTACTCATAGCATTACATTAGAGACATCTGTCAGGATGCCCATGCTTCAAGCTTTACTCGTTCGTAACTGTCGGACTTTTGCCCCCGGAGCGCTCAAAGAGAAAAAAAAAGACGAAGAGATTTTCCATGAGTTGGTATTCTTTTATTTTCTTTCTTTCGTATTATCTAATCATTTTCTCTTCCAATGATTGACGCACTCATTAAAATGCGTTAATCGTTTGTTTTCTTCTCTTTGCTTTGGCAAATGCAATCAATGCATTGTGCCCCTTATTACTGCTTGACTAACTATTGCAGCTCACTTTACAAAGTGTTCTCAAAATCAAAAATGGGTTCAAATTGATGTATATTTCCTGCTTGTAAACTCAAGAAGAGGTTAAAGGAATAATTTTAGACTTGATTCGTCCTACATACAATTTAATCGTCGAAATAATCTATTCTAATGGAGATACTGACAGCTTTAGATGATTCGGGCATTAACAGAATTAGTAAAATAATAAATGAAATATACGACAGTGATATTATAGCGAAAGACCTTAATAGCTTCATTTGCATAGCACTGCATAAGAAGCCAGGTGCAGATGAATGCGATCTCCAGTGGACAATTAGACTAATGAACGACAAAGAACCGTTTGAACAGATAGGTAAGAATGATTGTTTTGGAAATATATAAAGATAATTCAGAACCTATACTAGCAGCAAACTACATGCATACGAATAGAAAACGAATTCAGTAAATACACATAATAAAAAGGGACATAAAGTAAGGATATGTCTTCTCACCGGACATATTTCAAACTTTTACAGTAAGGCCATATTGAAAGAATTAGAATTCCTACCAGGAGTCATTACTAGTAGCCACACTCTTAACAAAGTAAGATATGCAGATGACATATTGTTGATAATCAGATAGAGAAAGGAAACTGGATGAACGCCGAAAGAAGGAAAAGCGGGAAGAAAGGACTAAACATCAATTGTAAGAATTCATAATGTGTGGCTGTCAGAAAAAGAAACAGCACAAGATTCGGACTACAAATTTCATAAACTAGAATCAAGAAAATACGGCAATTTAAATATCACGAAAATGTCCGAAAAGAGGGGACGGAAAATGTGACGCGGAAATCCGTAGGCGCAACGGAATAGCAAAAGTTGGCTTCAGTAAATTTTGAAGAAAACTAAAAATATCATTAGAAGCAAAGAGTGCTGAAATTTGATGTAATATCCGTCTCCCTATATGCCATTGAATGAAATCAATTACCCCACAGATTAAGAATAATCTTGAAGCAATATTGTTCTACAGAAAGAAGCTGAAAATGCCGTAGAATAACAGATGAGTAACAAGGAAGTGTTAAGCGAAATGGATACAAAAAAGAGACTTCTACTTTGCATCAGAAAAATACAGCTGACATTTACAGTGTAAATAATGTGGAAATAGCGCTTTGAGATTTTTACAAACACAGCATTTTAATCATACAACACACTCCCCGGTCGTCGAAGACTTCCAACACCGCAACTGGCCGCTGAAGTGACCGCTTCAATACAGAGCTAACCTTATCCCACGTTGTGATTTAAGTTTGATCATAAGGCTGCCAATCGTTGCAGGTATATTCGTGTTGGTCAGGTCCAAGACGTACAAGAAAAAATAATACTTGAATAAGTTGAACAAAAGTAAATAATGTTTTTATAACAGTCCTCCGTTCAATAATTGATTTATATTAGATTTCGCGTGCAATTAATTATCAGCCCAACCCGCAGCAAAATCGGAAGTGATTTTATCGTTGTTGACTTGGTAAAGTTCAGTTTGCTGCTTTGGTAAAGTTTGGCACAAGACTGAAGTCAGATGCTTTCGTCGGCAGATAATCACGTTGACCTTTCTACTGTCTCTGGCCTCGTCTCCGTCTCTTCTGTCTCCCCTTTGTCTTCTACTGACTAACTCGCTTCGCGAATTCTTATTTATGGGCATTCGCCCAAACTGGCATGGGGTATGGCGAAGTAGGAGCATTTTGGTGAATCCCCTCCGGCTTACGTCATAACTTTGGGGAATTCCATCTCCCCACCCTCTCTTACCAACCTCTTCAGTGAGCGTGGGTGTTCCTCCATCCTCCTTGATGTCATATCTGCGCCTGCTACCTCGAC